CCAAATTAATTCAAAAGGAAACACCTCACTCCTTCATCTTTCCAATCCCTCTTCATTCACTCTAGTGGCATTAGGAGCTGTGGTGTGCCACTCAGAGTATCCTTTTGTCCAATCAGCCTCATCCATGAAATGTTCATTGCAACGAGTCCTTGGTCTGATTTAAGGTCTCTGGTTTCTGGTATACCATAATCACTGGGTTGGGCCCTTATCAAACTCCTTTCAGATATCCAGTTGTTGCCCCGAGTCATGGAGATTCTCTGGTTACTGTTCTGCAGGCCCAGTCCTTTCATGCACTCCAGCAGGTCAAAGATGAGACAGCTGTTAGTGTGAGCCAACTCAAGGCCCAGGATGTGGTTCTGGGTAGTAGTTAAGCTGGTCACTTTGGGTCATTGGGACCACCCTGTCACGTAAGGGACAGCCAGCTTTCCTAGGTCTGTGCCATTACGGCCTGCTCTCCCATGCCTGTAGTGCAGAGTGGCACAGCCAGGTGGGTCTGAGTGGATGTCAATGGCTTCATGATATCATTGAAGACCAGAGTCTCTGTCGCCATCTGGGACCATGTAGGTGTCTGAGGGCCTCTCTGACACAGGGGTCATGCTGATCTGGGTGGGCTGTGCTGCCACATGCGGCCATAGTGGCATCTGAGCCTGTGCTGCTACATGGGACCATGTCTAGATCCATGGTCTTGCCACAGTTGGGGTCTGTGATGTCTGTGACCCATGGTGCCACCAAAAGTCAAACCCGGGTTCTAGGCTGCATACTATGCCCATGTTGGTGTCTGAGACTATGCTGCCATTGGGGTCATAGTGTCATCTGAGCCAGGGCTACTGCCAAAGGCCATGTCTTTGTCCATGGCCTACAGCAGTCAAGGTCTGTGTTGATGTTTGTGGTTCCTGATACCATCGAAGGCAATGCCAATGCCAGGGGTCTTGGTGACCACCTGTAGCTACGTTGGTGTCCAAAGGCTTCACTACCATGGGGGCGATGCTAATCTCAGTGGCTTGTGCAGCCCACATGGGACTGGACCCAGGCTGCTGCTGTAGATCATGCCTGGGTCCATGGCTGAACAGCAACCAGGCCCTGGGATAGCTGACCCTGCACCTTACTCGTCACTGTAGCAAGAGAGCTGGCGCTCTGTCCACCATGGGAGAGCTGACCCTCGTACTTGTCTGAGAATGCTTCTTCTTGCAGCAAGGGTTTCCTTGATTAGTCCCAGGCTCACAAACCAATAAGGCATGGGGAGTTCACATAGAGAAATGAGTATGGTGAGAAGTGTTGATCCAGACAGTCGATGGCGAGACACCCATTTGGGTAGAAATGGTAGGAAGTTTCTTGTACACACTTACTACGATCAGACAAAGCAATAATTAATCTCACTTATCTTCCTGGGTGAGATTTGGTCACATTAATGACAGACAATAGACAGACAGACAGTCAGACAGACAGACAGACACGGGCCCTGTTCAAATTCTTTCATTTTCCTCCTTCAGTCTAAGTTCTTCTACATCAATCAAGTTTGGTGCCAATTTCTCTCCAGTACCAAGCCAGCTGGAACACAGATGATTAGGGGACCTAGAAAGTGTATCCTGCAGAGCTCAGCCTCCACAATAACAGACAGAAACTGCAATAAAAGGGTATAAAGCCAAATGGGCCAAAAGCTGGCACTACTAGTCATGTAATTTCATAACAGACAATAAAAATGTTACACTAGTGTAGGTCCTCTCCTATCTTAGAGAGCCAACATATTAATTCTGAAATAGAGGGTCAAAAGAAGAACCCCGGGAGGGTGGGTCCTCATACTGATGAGAATACATGAAAGGCACAGGAAGCCTATAGCTAAAGAAAGGTGTTCAGACAGCATCACAAACCAAATGAGGAGAGTCCCTCCAACTCTTCGTGTATGTGTTTGTGTGTGAGTGTGTGTGTGTGTGTGTGTGTGTGTATGTATGTGTACTTGAGATGGAGGGAAGGAGGGACGGAGGGTAATAGAGCTACAAGGTGTCTAGGTACTATCACAGATACGTTACTTCCACTTTTAGTCACCTTTCTGGCCCTCCTTGCATTAAGCTGATGGTAACAGTCATGAGTGTTCTTGTGTAGAGCTGTAACAGACATCATAATACACGAAAGTGAGTCTTGGGGCAGCCCTGGCCACATTGAGTACTGCACAGCAACAGTGCAAAAAGATGCAGATGCCAGTCCATGATCTATTACATGAAACCCCAAATTCTCCATAGATGCTCATTTTAAAAGATTTCCTAGGAAGAAGCTAAGCCTATCTTAAATGCCATCCTCATATATCTAGCACCTTGAAATCTAGGGCATAATGTCAAAGGCACACTTATTCAGGAACATTTGAGGTAACACAAAAGTATTAAAGTTACAGAGAAAAAGAAGCAACTATCTAAATAAATGCATTATATAAATCAGATTGATGTTAAAATCCCTGTTATGCCATAGGTATCACAGAAGTAAAATTTTCTATATTTATAGCTAATTAATCTTTGTATCAGACATTCTCTAACATTAAGAATAATAAGAATAAAATCTTAAAAGAGAAGTTTGTGTGGAGTGGAGAAACAGTTCAGCAATGAAGAGCATTAGCTGTTCTTCTACAGTAGTGGTTCTCAACCCTCCTAATGCCGTGACTCTATAACACAGTTCCTCACGTGGTGGCGATCCCACCAATAAGATTATTTCATTGCTGCTTCATAAATGTAATTTTGCTACTGTTGAGAATTACATTGTAAATATCTGATATATAGGATATCTGATATGTGACCCCTGTGAAAGGGTCATTTGACCCCAAAGGGGTCACACCCTGACCCACAGATTAAGAACCACTATTCTAGATGATTCAAGTTCAATATCCAGCTTCTACCTGACAGCCCTCAATCATCTGTAACTCCAGTTTCAGGGGATCCAACTTCCTCCCCTGGCCTCCTCAAGCACCAGATATGTATGTGGTACATAGACACACACGCAGCAAACATTTAGACACATAAAATAGCAAAACACTATTTTTAAATTAAAGAAATTTGTGGTTTAAAAAATCAAAAGGTAGACAATCAGAGAGTTATCTGTGTTTATACAGTGTTAATGGCAGTGGATGTATAATTCCCCAGCGACTCTTTCTTGTAAGTCAAATTACAAGCCATCTCACTTTCCCCCTGAAACTGCATGCCTTCCAGTACAAAGAAAACAGCGTCAACATTAAGTGCTCACCAATGTATAATCTTCATGTCTCACATATGAATATCTCTAGTGTTCATCAAGCTTTACCTGTCTGGAATTTTACTAAACGTATGTACTGGCTTTGGACATTTATTACATTCCTGAGCCCAGCACACTGAAGTGAAAAATCCAGAAAGAGAAAAATAAGAGCAACAGCTCAGCCTCAACACATAACTCTGCAGTGTCTATATATAAATACTGCTCTCTGGATCCTCTGTCCCCTTCATAATTTTGATATCTTTATCCAAGCCGTCGACGTTTTTCCTACCCCTCTTCGTTCCATTGGCCATTGTTCCATAACCTCTCCTGTCCTCCCTAGGCTCCAATATTCCCCAGGCTCACAATTTCTGTTTCTTGCCTTTATGTTCTCCCACAAACTGCCAGTGCTCTTCCACAGACTGAGGCTCCCTAACTAAAGATGGTTATTGATGTACAGTACCAGTGTTTTAGTGCAGCAGCCGAATCAATAAAGGAGAAAATACTGCTTTGTCAGGCTTCACCAAGGCATTCTGGGAAACTTTACTGCTTTGGGTGGTTACAGCAACTCTTAATACAGAAAGGGAGAGCTGGACTCCCTTCTGTGGTGAGAAATGATGTTCTCCTACCCTCTAGTGACTATAAAGGAATAAAGCAAAGGTGGAGAATGTGTGAGATGGCAGTACACTAATATTAATCATGGCCTCATCTGTTTCTGAAGACGGACCACAGTATAAGGAGCCAAGTGAGATGCGAGCATGGCCAGTGACCCTTTCATAATTCTGTTGACATGCTTAAAATGTAGATATGCTATAGCCAGTATGAATACACTACAATAAGTGTGTGGTTACAATATAGTCAGTATGGATACAGTATAGTCAGTGTGTGGCATCGGAACATTGGCTCTTTCTGAATGCAAGACAGTCTTAGTATCTCTCTGTGTGTGTGTGTGTGTGTGTGTCTGTGTGTGTGTGTGTGTGTACACACTCATGCATATACAAGTGATTGGCTGTACAACCCCTTTTTATCCCAGGCACAGATTTGTTCCAAAATTCAGACATCAAATTAGACAAAGGGCCTAAAGTACCATATCATTTAACTAGAATTCTACAGCTCTTGATAAAACTGCTAACTTGAGTTAAAAATACTTTGGGGGTTGCTTCTAGAATAATTTTCACATTTCCACCTAATTTATAATTTTCTAATTTGTCACCTTAATAAATGATTAAATTCTGAATGCTTTTATTGGTATGCCTACTTGTATAAACTTTAAAATATCATACAATTGCTTAAATTTACTAATGATGTGCAACCCACCAGTACTCCATAAAGATAGATTTAAAATATTATCATTATACATTGAGAAATAGTTTTATTTCAGGAGATATGGGGGGACTGATAATGGCTGCCACATATTCTTCTAGTCTTCATGTCGCCCCTAAGGACTCATATTAGCTTCTCATGGCAAATTAACCTCCTGAAGGGACAGCATCTAACCGTGCCACATTCTAAGTGTTCCAAGCTTAGCGAAGCGTACAATTCTAACATTCCTGGTACATATAAAATGTCATCACTCAAGTGCAAGTTCCAAATTCCGACCATGCCCTCACTTAATGAAACTCTAAAGAAATGTCCTTCCCTTTTGAGTCGTTAAGACAACAAGAGGTACAGAATGCCAAGACAAATCAAGTCAGAATGATACTAATTTTCCTTATGCAGGTACATACGTTAATAATGCATTTATGAAAAATACACAGTTTTATTCACATGATAAGAACAAGTAAATTTACCTTGCTGGCACTTAACCGCTTCCGATTTGACCAACGCTTCATTGTACAGTGAGGATATCAAAAATGAAACAGAGAAACATTGGATCATTTATAATATAATTAAACTATTTTATACTATGTAAGATGCAGATTATACTCAAATTATCAACTCCCAAATTGGAAAATGAGCCTCTCCCATCACCTACCCCTCCCCACAAAAATCTCACGTAAACAAGGAGATAGGCAAATTCTTCCTACACATCATTTTCTTGGGTATTCATAGCAGATCGGCATTGGCAGACAAAAGTCATTCTATCTCCATAACATTTTTTGAATTAAACAAAATAGTATCATTTTATCTTCAAGTAGGAGAGTCAGGTTTCTCCTACTTACAATGTTTAAGCAGCATTGTAAAGATGTTTTTAAATTCTTAAATAATATTAGTTTAGTTCACGTTCAGGTCATCTATTGCTTTTGGTAACAGAAAACAGAATTATATTTACTTTCATAGGTTAACACCTGACTGCCAAAATAAAGAAAAGAATGGGGAACTTACACCACATGGAAATTTGCTATTTTGTAAGCTAATTAAAAAAACACTAAAATTTTTAGGATCATCATTGTCCAGTTAAATTAATTTAATTGATCTAGCAAATGTGTGAAGAAAGAAAAAAGTTATGAAGGCCAACACATTTCCCCAAGTTCTTTTCTGATCCCTCTTTTGTCACGAAAATGCGGCTCAATTTCATCTAGGGTTGAAATTTTCTCTCAGCAAAGTTCATCTCCTCTCCCAATCACTATCCAGTACAACAATGCCCTGCTCTGGCTGGCTCACAAGCTAACTGCTTGTTAAAAACGTGCTTACATTCAGGATACTGCAATTAAATTATGAAATCTAATCAAGCAGACCACATTTACTACAATGCTCAGGGAACAGAAAAATGCAGGTAAATGACATGTCTACTTTGTTAGACTTTCTCCTCAATAAGAAAGCAGAAAAAGAACAATGGTCAAGAGAAGTCCACTCACGTTCCACTAGCCAGCCTTGGGACAGGACACAAAGAACTTTAAGGTTCTCATTAAGACTTGTCCTGGGGAAATGGGGAGGTGGTCATTGTGCACCTGACATAGTTACAAGTGCTACAACTACGGTTTAAAATAAAATGTTCCAGGGTTTTCTCGATAAAAAATACCAGGTATCCCCACTTAATCCAATCACAGAAATGAATGACAATCTTATAGCTTCATAAAGAAAGATATTGAGTCCTTTTTATATAAAGACTTGATTTTTTGTAGTCATCATAAAAGATAAACCAGATTAGGATACAGACATCACACCTACTTTACTATAATGCTACAAGCTACCATATACTTAGTATTTCTACCATGCCTGGCACTGTGGTTGATCTTGTCACTTGATAAAACAGGTATCCTCATTCTTATCTCACACATGAGGGAAACTCTTCAGAGAGGTTAGCTAACCCTGTGGATGTGATTGAGTCAAATCCAGTCAATCTAGTAGTCAAACATGGACAATTTGATGACAAGTCCACAATTTTACTTATGATCCTACTCCTCTTCAAGACAAAGAAAATACAATTCACTCGGCTCAGTCAGGGCAATGCACCCTACTTAGATGTACAGCACAGAGATTAGCTGCACATCTTAAAGTTTTGTTTTGTTTTGTCACTTTGGTTCTAAAGCAACAAAATTTGCCTCACTGATGGAAATAAAAATAGGTGTAAAACTGAGAATCCAAAGTGGATCTCCTCCACAGTTTACATGTAAGTGACAATGTATAAACCAAGCATTCTAATTACCTAAATCTACTGCCCTATAGGTCCAAGGGCTTGTTATTTTCACTTAAAACCCCCAAATAAACATGCCTTTTAATATCCATTTAAGCTTAATAAAAAGAACAAATGTTTTCTTCTCCCTAGATACTCAAAGGGACCCGGGTAGTCCTGTAAGTAAAAGGCTGTATATATGGCTAATAACAAGTCATTCCTCTATTACTAGATACTCAAAGGGACCCGGATAGTCCTGTAAGCAAAACACTGTATATATGGCTAATAACAAGTCATTCCTCTATTACTGACACTTTGGTTACACATAGATCAAGTAAGTAAATAGAATAGGGAAATTACAAAGAAAAGTAAATGAGATAGGCAGGCTTTCGGGTGATATTACCTTCCCATTATATAAAATAAACTGCATATTTGGTTTCTGTTGGGCAATGCATAAGGAGAACACACAAGGAAGCAGAGATGCTGGTAATCTCAACAGAGGAGGTGGTGGGTGGTACTAAAAGGGGCCAGGTCAAGGGAGATGAAGACAGCGGATACTCTCGATACTTCGAAAAGACACACTTTGAGATGCATCCCAAAAGCAATTCCAAGCTGCTTCTTGCATTATTTGCTCTGTAGTTTGAGAGTACTTGAAATCAGAGAGCTATTACTTTAAAATTCCAAATGTGGCACTATTAAATGCCATTGGAGTACAATCTGATTGTCGAGGGGCGTAGTCTAGTGAGGTGTGTAAAAATTCAAAAGGTGTGGCTGTTTTCATTGGAAACATCAACTTTACAAAAGTCACCAAAGAAATATTTAGAACACATTGACTGTCAAGTGATCCATCCTGATTCAAATACCTATTTATATTTCATGTTAGTTTAGCCTGGCACCAACTTCAATTCGCCCACCACCAACTATACACTTGAATAGCAAATCCGAGGGCATAGATTCAGAAGCAACAGCGACAGGATAAAAATGAGTTAAAGGAAAGCCTGGGACAGAGTCCAGACAAGACAATGCTTGCCTTCACCATAGCTATAGTTTCCTTGAGGTCCCAGTGTGAATGAACAGTGTTACCTTAAGTATAAATAGAGGTTTAGCCCATCATGTTTTACGTAAATTAACCTAATAAATTCAAATGGTAAAAAGCAAATGTTTACATGACACTCTGACAATTGAAAAAGTCATAGTAAAATTTTTGCTATTCCTATGCCTATTACTAGCTAGCTTCTAGGCATTTACTAGTAAATTATTTGTGGCCTTCACTATGAAATTAATTACAACAGAAAGATTAAGCAATAGCTAAAATGAAGAATATTTTTCTCAATTTAGAAAATAATATTAGAAGCTTAATTTCTAAGCAGGCTTCAGATTTTCGCATTGGATTCCACGCAGGTTCAAATGTAACATGTCTTCAGTAACTGCTTTAGTTTGCTTAAAAAATATCTTTAAGTAAATTGTAATCAAACATATTGTGCTTTTATTTTAATTATTGGAATTATGATGGGCAATCCATGAATATGAAAATGAGATTATGTTTCCATCAGCATGTTTACTTGTAAGAGCAGACTTTCTGTCTTATCATAACAAAATCAAATGCTTCACTAATGGTGCAGACATCACTATTCTATAGTGTGTTAATGAGAGATTTCCATGCGAGAGAATAGGGAACATTAAAATTTGCATTTTTCACAAAAGCACACCCAATGGAAAAGGTAGCAGCTAAAAGCAACAGCCAGTGAAGAAGGCAGAGGACTGGACATGTTTCAAGAGAACACTTGATCACTTTATAATTCAGGATGTAAACATTCAATCCTGGGAACTGCCTGCATAACGGAATATGTGAATGTCACTCAGAATGTAAAAATTACTAAATGGAAACCCTGATGCTTAAGGAAACTATATTTCAAATGGTTTATCCAGGCAAAACACATACAGTCTGTGTGTGAGTTTATTAGCAATCCTAGCCATACTTTTGTCAGCCAGGTAATGTATTACTATTACCTAGGTTGTCTAGCCCATAGTTCATGAGAAAGAATGTAGATAAATACATACTGAAACTTGATGCAATTGTTTGACTTCTCTCCTTAATATAAAATTAACACTCATCCTGTCTTTGGCCAGCTATCAAAGAATCACACAGTGGAGAGGTTAAGCAGACAGGTTCCCACTTACATGCCTCTTGAAATCACCCTGTTTTACAACTAGGTTCAAATTTAACACAATCACTCCCATGTCATCTTCTAAACTGTTTGGATCTTCCAGTTTTAAAATATGTTCGGTAGTCCTGCAAGCAAAAACATAACACGTGATTTTAACAGTAACTGGCAATGTTGCAGGCTTGACAGTACATCAGAAGCTTAAGGAAATACCTACTACCTAAGATTAGATGGTGGGGAGTAGGGGAATACTGAACCACATTTAATGAAAATAAATTTTCTGGGGGTGGGGGGACAGCCCTCTGAACATTGTCAATTTCAACACTGGTTAACTGATTTTCCCTGCTCTATCACCCACCAAAAAAAAGAATAGAGACATGTTTTAAGTTAAATTATGAGCCTCAATATTTTAAAATCTAAATAAGTATCACTTAATATGAATATGGATTTCCCCTGGAATTCACTGATAATGATTCAAGGTAAAAGTAGGATACCTGTTAAGTTCAAGATCCCTGAGAATGACAAAGGCAGAACCCATGAAGTCAGATGTGGTTAAGTCTCGATCGTACACCTAGAAAAGGCAGAGGGTATTAGCATACAGGGCCACCCAAACCAGCTGGCTTTGTCAAATGACTAACATATAGAACAGGCTGGGGCCTCACAAATCCATCTTGTAGTCCTTACAATAATTTGCGCAGTGAAGCTGAATAAAAATATAGTCAATACAGAGAATTATTTTCCCTATTTTGCTAGCCATGCTGGAAACAATAGGAAAAAAAAACCTTATAAGGCAGTGGTCAAATACAACCAAATATTACACACAATGGACTCTATGGGCCCTCCCTATAGTTTAATCGGCCTTTCATTAAAAACTTAGCATTTTCCATGGTGAACAGGTCTGCCAATTAAATAGAAATTTGCTAACTATTGTACAGCCATCCCATTCTGCACTCAACTCATATAGTTTAAACCCAGATGTTGGGGTAATTGATGCTTACACCTGGTAGCTTGAAGCTCTATTAAGTATAAGGTTCTTTCTAATGAGAACAGTGTCTATACTTGTCACCATTACAGGGCCAGTAATAATTCTTCCACACCGAATAAGTTTAAATAGAGCCAATAAGGACATTATTTACACAGTGCATGGTGACTTTGTAGCATACATATCTCCCTGATTTGAGGGAAACACAGTTTCATAAAGAGCCTTAAACAATTCCTCCTACAGTATTAATGTTTCAATCCAGCCTGAGGGGAAAAATGGAAAGATTAATTGAGGCAAGTTCACTTTTAAGGAGGCCTGAGATCAACAGAAGGATAAATATTTTGAAGGAAGGAGCTGACTTGATTATTACCTTCACACGAAGCTTTTGATCAAGGCTGTGTATCGGCAGCACAACTATCTCATCCCAAATCGGGTTCAAGTTCTTATATATGACTTTACTTTTGTACAGCGTCTTCCCGTTCAGTTTAAATTTCACATACGGATCACTCGTGCCTTTAAAGGAAAAAAAAGAGAACATGACAGAATTTCAAACACACACACACATACACACACACACACACACACACACACACACACACACAAATCTAAGATTTCTACCAAGTCAAGAATCTTCCCACAGTGCCCAGGCCTGCTGCAAGCCAGAGAACACACTGAGATCGGTGTCTCTCTGTGGACAGATACGAAGTCCTAGAGGTGTCGTGGGGAGGGAGAAATGCAACAACGTAAGGGTAAATGATTAATTCTGTTGTGTCTTCTAGTGGTTGAATATGAATGGGCTTCCTGAGCTTTTTATGTGGTTTCATTGTGGATATGTCACCCCTCAATAACCCACAAAAATTCAAAAAAAAAATATCAAGTCAGTGTCAGGAACCCCAGGGAGAAGCTTGCCCCTCCTAGGATCAGTATGAAGTCCATGAAAAGGGAAAGCCGCCATTCCCAAATATTTAGCAGATGGCTGATTCAATCGAATCTTACACCTTAAAACATAATAATAACAAATAAATTAGCCTCTGCAATCACTCATTCAAAAGACGATGTGAGGGGACTCAGCCTGCCACCAGGGGCATAAAGATTAAGTCAACAGAGTAACCATTCTTTGCCGCCTCCTCGCACCTGCACCAAAGCTGCACACATTGTCCCCACCCAGGACCAGCACAGGAGCCAGGCCCTCAGCTGGCCTCAGAGCTGACACAGCTGACCTGACTGGCCCCTCCTGGGGTGCTTTGAAATGGATACCAAAGGGAATGAATAATATCCCTGAAGTTGCAATCTCCCCAACACACACACACACACACACACACACACACACACACACACACTGATGGTAGATCCTACTCTTCCACATTTCTTAGATCAATTGAAAAGAAATAAAGCCTACAAACAGAATGCATGAATTGTGCATTGTACCTATATGTTACATGAATATGTATATCATCTAACATGCCAAGGGCAGAAACTTGCTCATCCGTATCAGGTGAGTGCAGAAACAGGAGCAAATGAACAATTAGCAGAGGGATAAGGGAAGCCCTGCTTTAAGATAAAACTTGTGAGCAGAGTTATAGCATTGTAGTCCATCCTGAAACCCAGCCCTATGGGGATGTGTGTAAGGAGGCACCATTATCTAATTTGGGGCCCCAGATAGGTTCCACGAATATTCATTGAAGTACATTTCTGATACGAAATTCAAGCCAATACCATCTACAAATATTCTATCAAAAAATCAATCCCATTACTTTGCTGCAAACACGTCACTAAGAACTAACATTCTTCACAGTTTGTCACATAGCCCCTTCCATGTGGCCTCAGTCGTAAACACCACAGAAAGTAAATGCGATGCATTCCTGAGCTATCTGAGTGGAAGGTGCCATCACTCTGGAACAAGGCAGCACACATTCTCAAATAGCCTTACTAGAGCAGGGATTTTCTAAGTTAGCATTCTAGTGATACAAGGGCACTGACTTTTAAACAAAGAAATTAAAATAAGCCACAAATATCAGACACGTCCAATTCTACCATCTTAAGTTTGGCAGGGCAGGAATGGAAGCCCAGCCTTCATTTGAAACACGTACCCAAGCTGAGCAGCTTTCCAGGGCTAGTAAAAAATAAATGCATTCACAGGCACTCAGTGGAATTCTCACTGGTGAGTGAGCATCTGCCCACCCCCATTCAGCGGCTTGAGAGAAAACCTCTGGCTGGTCAGGTTTTAACAATCATCGTGATATATATATATAAAAAAAGTGGGGGGAACTATAATAAAAAGAGGCCTTTAATTAAATGAAATTGCCACTCTGGGATCAGGGCCTTCATGCTTGTCAGCGTACTCTCAAAATAAACATCTCAAAACTCGGCCTCAGTGGTGTCACTTTCTCACAGGCAAGGCATACTGGGTAATCCCCAAGCATCTTGACAGCTACATAATGTTCAAACTGTTTCACGGGTGAATGGCGGCAGTTGCGTGAAAGAAAATATTAATGTCTGGAATTAATAGAAAAAAAGGACCAGGGTTTACAAAGCCAAATAAGGAAAGAGGGTGTCAAGTTAGTGCGGTGTTAATTGTTCGGGAAAATTCGCAAGGAGGGGGTAGTTTGTGGTGGTTTTCTCTCTTGGAGCCTAAGTGCCTGACTGTCAGGGAAGTGGCATCCCAGCTAGGCTGTTCTGAAAAGGGGCCAGCAGCTCTGGAATGCGACTCCCGGATTATACACATGGTGAGCTGACACCTGAATGGGTGGACTTTAACCTTCCTCACTGGGAGCCTGGGATACAAAGAGGCTCTTGTGGTAGTTGGTGCTTTCAGTGGGGACCAAGAGACCAGGCTGTGTCCAGGCAGACCCTCACTCTGACACTGGGGGCCAGGCCCAGCCATCTTCTCCCACACTACACAGACTGGAGCGTCCACAAACAGAACCCCTACATGTACAGACTCAACCAACCATGGGCACAACCTAATTTTAAATATATAAAATGTGTCCTTACAGAATAAGTACAGACTCCTGTCCTGGTCATTATCCCACAGACACAACACAGCTATTTACTTACATGGTATGGACATCATGTGCTTCATCTACAGATGAAGTAAAAAGTAAGGGGAAGTGCACATAGGTTGTATATGATTGTATGATCGTTTACATGTAATACCATACATACATGCATGCAAGCATGGCAGTTTATATACTACATTCTGTATAAAAGACTTACACATTCATGGATTATGGTATCACCAGAGGCGCTGGAAACATCCCCATGCAGATCCCAGGGGATGGCTGCATCTGTAGTCCTAATCCTTGCAGCACAGAGGCACAACGCCCCACCACCACCACCACCACACACACACTTAAGAACCACAGTTGTTCCTGTTCGTACCCACTAACTTACAGATGGTTACTCTCCCTTGACCTGCACCTGTCAGCCATGCTACCTGTCAATCATGCTACCAGATCACAAACACTCCCGGTCTTTTCCAAGGCTTTTCAGATACCCAGCTGTTGCTAAGACACAAGACACTGCTCTTCTGCACCTGATGGTACGTGCACCCCACAACACAGCATAGGATCCTGGGTTGGTAATGTTCAAAAGAATTGGACATGGTGTGCAGTTCTGCTCAGTAGTAGGTAGCAAAGGTATTACCTAGCTCGCTTGTCAGTGAGGGCTTAAATCAAAGAGACAGGAGTTGGACCAAACAAGAACAAAGACCTGGGTATCAATGGGGCAGGGAGGGAGACCCCAAATAATAACTGGTGTTGTAATCACAAGCAAACATTTCAGTAAACCCAAAAGTTAAGGAAGAAACATCATAGAAAGAAATAGATTACAAGAGGCTGTTTTGAGTCAGAGACCAAAGTGCCTTAAACATATACAATAAAGGGTTAGTTATTATTCTGCAAGAAATGTGGGTGTTTTATTTCCTGTTCCCGGCCTTTTAAATTTTGCTTAAGTAAAAGTAATACATGCCCCCAAAGTTTGAAACACATGAAATGAAACAAAGTCTGTACCCTCTGAGTGGTCCCTGAACTCATTTGTCTGGTTCGATACCCACAAGCAGTTTCTCGGGTGATTTAAAGGAGAAAACACGTGCAGGAATCATTTTTAAATGACTGAATTTCCTCGGGTAGTATGCCATAGTCCAGGGGCCACACCAGCAATATGCACCTCCTGGTGTCTTTGCAACTAAACCCATCTTTACTGAGCTGGGCTGCTGTAGACAGCATTTCAGCCAGCAGGCTGAGGTAGCCATCCCAGAATCCCGGAATCCTGTCTACAGCAAGTTTGCAACACTCAAGCGTGGCAGTGGCTCGTTTTGTTTCTAACAGACCTTATAAAATTGTTTTCTAATTCTTATCAAACTTAGGCGCGGGTGGGAAGGGGGGCTCTCTGGGTAGGAGAGCTTGCTACTCTTTCTTGCTGCTCACCCACTCTGGGAAGCTCATAGGGGGATCCAACAACCCCTCCTGGCATTTCATGGCACCCACATCCATGGCATATGCAGGCACACGCACACCTACACATAAATGTATATAAAATAAATCGTCTTCGAATGCTTAGCAAACTTAGAGTATAGTGTTATTTCTTTCTGCATTTCCCTAACACTGAATATTTTAAACCTTTATTTTAATATGTTGGCAGGTGGGGGGGGGGAAACAAAGTACCTCTGTCTCTCCCCTTATCTGTAACACTTTCAGGGAATTTCCTGCTGTTGTGACTTCGATTTGTGTTGCCAATCAGATTCTCGTTATTACATGATTATCTGTCTTTCAGCGGGCTTAGCTTGGCATCTGGCTAAGCCTGCAAGGGATCTTTCTTATGGAAACAGCTCACCAACTCCACAACTTGTCAGAATTTAACAAGTTGATACTGGCAATAAATTATTTTCCTTTTTATTTCATCAAATTAGCCAAGATCTGACTTTTGCCTTTGTACTTTCACAACCTGCACAGAAGCATTTTTTTACTGTAAGATTTTAAATTAATACAGTTGTGTTTCTTCCCATTGATTTTTGCACATTTTCTTTTTTTTTTTTTTACATTATAGGTTTTTTTTTGGTCCATCTGGAGTTATTTTAGTATGAAGAGGAAGGAAATGTAGGTTCACTCAGGAGGAGAGTAAAGTGATCAGAGCCAAGCTTCGCGTATAAATCTGACAGCAGCTTATAATTTAGATGAGGGAGGAAGGGGGAGAGAGCAAGGACACCTGGGTGCTGGGCCGAAAGCTGAGCAGGGGGCTGAGGGTAGAGGACAAAACTGAGCTCAGACCCTAAGAACCACATGCAGGAGGTGAGGGATCTGGCTCAGTCGTTAAAGTGCTGGCTGAGCAAGTGAGAGGACTCGAGTTCAGATCCCCAGAACCCAGGCCTGGGCAGGGTACGCATAGGGGATAGCATCCTATCTACAGATCCCAACTTGCAGCAGAGGCAAGGCAACCCCAGAGGAAGCTAGCCATCTGTATGAGCTCTGGTTGTGATCGCAAGTCTTTGCCTAAGAATAAGGTGGGAGAAAGAA